GTAGAGTAAATCCACTTCTATAAGACGTCATAGCAATGCGATGCCAATGGTCTGGCCTGTGTGTCTGACTAAATAACAAGAACGAAGAGAACAGATGCCGAACACACTCATACGTGAATAGATAGGCACATGGATGGTTGGATTGAGTATCATATATTTTATTTTTATGGGTTACATAGAAAGATACGGTATATAAGGTACATAATTGTGACACATACAAACTTTATAAATTACACTGTAAGCAGTAACTGTTAACTTATTAAAGCTCTGCTTCGGGCTTTCAGTTTTAGTTCATCAGGACTTTGTGCGGTGAGGGAATGTATTTACTTTTCTAGTAATCCGGAAATACACCGCACAACTGCATTCTTACAAATTGTGTTCTAGGAGAAAGAAACTAAGGATTCAATAGTATACGAAAAACATCTATAGTCATTAAAGATTCAATCTGTACATTAATTTAAGTAGCTTAATATCTGATTCATTCAAAACAAGCAATAGTTATAGGGAATCTACATGAATATTCAGCCTAGTTAGCTGTGACATTAGCTCTTCTTGCTCTCTTCCTTTTGACGAAATTTTCATAAGGGTATAGAAGGGTCAAGAGGACTTGGAAAATGCAACCAGAGAGAGAGAGAGAGAGAGAGAGAGACAATGAAGTTAAGCAGATATTTACAGAGTGAGAAATACATATCTGGAAATGAGTTTATGTAAATTTCTATTGTGGATTTTCTCTTCAGATAACAGATAACTTGGGCAAACTATTTACCTTCTCTAAGCCTCAGATGTTTTGCCTTTAAAAGTGGAATGATAAAGTAGAATGATAATATCTACCATACCAAGTTGCAAGAGTCAAGATAATGAACATAAGTGCCTAGCATAAGGGTGGAAAGAATACTCTAAATATTATTTTATTTTCTTTTTCTATTTCCTTTAGATTTCACATTCTTTATTCACATTCTCTTCCTCAAAGAAATCATCCCTTTAATTAATTTTCCTTAATATGAATAACTGCTGAATATCCATCCCTCTCTGCTCCTGTGAATTTCTGTCTTGCACTTACCATTATTTGGTTAATATCCCAAAGGTAAAGTTAATATAATATTGACATAAACTCTGAAATATTCATTATAAAATCAAGTTCTGTAGGATATTCTTGTGCCTTTATTCCTTATGATTCTGAATTTCATCATTTCTCACCAACTGACCAGATATTTGCTTTTGATATTTCACTGTTACTTTTCTGATCAGCATTGCAAGGTACAACTTCTTATCTTTCTTGCCAAAGAAAGCTCCACTCCTGATTTCTTATTTTTAATATTAATCACAAGGTAACCTTATAGTAAGTTTTGAACCTCAAGAAGTAAGTATTAACAGGAATTAATTTTCTTGATAAGTTACAATTCACATCTAGAAAACCAACAATTTTTTGTTTTAATCTTTGTCATCTGGAACAAAATATTTTCGAAATCAAATTTCACATGCGTGGAATTGCTTTAAGTGGAGTAACCTAAGGTTTGTTTAGTCTTATATAGACTAGATCCTCATCATAACTCTCTTTACTATATTTTGCAGCAATTATAGCAAAGCATTAGGAATTAATAAATACAGATGGTGTCTTTCCTTCTAGTGAATCGTTTTCTATGAACTTTGAGGAATAATTTTAATTGGTTGAAACTTGCATACTGGATGCGTGAATTTATCATAAGTAGGCATTGATTCCAAATATATTCACAGTGAGCATCTGTTGAGCATTTCTATTAGCAAAGTATAAGAGCCCTTTTAAATCTTTTGTGACTGCCAAGAGGTTTTGAGTTTTTGTGTGTGAATGGTTTGTGTGTTTTGTTTGTTTGTTGTTGTTGCTCCTGATAAGGTAACATTGTTCTAGGCACAGAAGGCATTATTCCCTCAGACACACCAGCTTGAGGTCATCATTCAGTTTTTATCTTTCCTCATTCCTCATATCCAGTTAGTAATAAATCCTCCTCTCCTGGCTCCTCGGTGTTGGTTACTTCTGCAGGTCCTTCAACTCCCCAGTGCCCTAGTCATTGGCTGGCTCTAATATTATGACATTGGTCACTGAAATTTCATGACATCTATTCTCTCCTGTCTCTGTTATATATTATACACTAATGATGGGTTTGTTTTCTTAAAATTTTATTTATTTTTTTACTCGCTCTATAAACTTCAAATCTTCAAATGACTACAACCTGCCATTTTAGAGCTTCAGTAATCACATGATGTATCATATTTTTTATTTAGCTTTATATTATGTAAAATAGCAGAATGCCTTGTTCCTAGCAAGAAATCTACAGATTTTAGTCCTTCTCCCAAAGCTTGTTCCACCTGAGTAAAACCACATTCTCCTTAAACATTATTTCCCTTTCCTAATATATTCTTGCTTTCAAATGATTTTTATAATCTTCTGTAATTTGTGAAGCCAAGTTCAAGGGCCACCTCCTCCATGCCCTTCCCTTCTCTTCCTACCCCTTTTCCTAGAATTAACATTTATTGTTTGTATGTCATTAGGCATTTAATCACCAACCAATTTATAGTACTGTTAAGTCTTTGATGTACTTCTTTACAAAATTATTTATTCTCTATTTAGTCAAGGGATTTCTACAGGGTGCCCAATTGTATACAGCAAAGTAAATAATTTAATTAGTAATTATCAAATAAACAATTGTGGAAGTCAACTAACTAAATAACATTAGTTTTCATACTATATTTTATAGGTTATTCTACATATGAATTACTAGTGAGTTATTAATTGTTAATTAATAACTTCAAAATTGTATCTTCTGGATGTATTATGTACCCTACAAATACACCAATTTCAACTGTTCCAAACACCTGAAATAGCCTGCTTGGTTGGGCCCTAAGAAATAACTTAAAAACAATTTAATCCTTGTAGTCACAATTCAGATTTCACAGGTTCAATGACTATTGTTCTTAAAAAATCATTTATTTCTTTTTTTTTTTTTTTTTTTTATTTCAGCAAATTATGGGTGTACATACGTTTAGGTTACGTGTGTTGCCCTTGGTTCCCCCCCCACCGAAGTCCGTGTTTCAAATATGTCCATCCTTCGGGTTATTTCTAAAATAGGATGTCTTTAGAATTTCAGGGTCTCAGTAATGGATTGCACTATACTGAAATTTTTGAAGATTCTATGCCCAAATAAGAACTTTTGTCTTATTCAACCGTTGTTCCTATTAATGCTACCACCAATAATTGATAAGAATTTTTAAAAAATGTTCTACATAATTTTGTGAATTCTATGGAAAGTCTAATAAAGTTACTGAGTATATTATTTTCTTTTAAAAAATCTTTACCACAGGTCCATAATTACCTTAATCATAGTGAAATGATATACCGGTGATATATATGGTAGGTATAACATTAATCCAACCTGAAAAATGCTATGGTTGCTCTGTTCTTCGTGTTAGGTCATGCTACAAAACTTTAATATCAGGTGTTTTAATTCAAATAGGTAGGTATGGAATGATTACTGTGTGTCAGGAACTATCTTATGAATGTAACCAAAATAATACTGGGAACTCAAAACCTAATGAGAGACACAACCAATTATATTCCAATGTAGTTTCTAAAATAGAAATCGAAACAAAGAGCATGGAGCAGGAAGAAATTTCATTAATAAATGAAATGGAGGCAAATTGTCCAAAGATAACTTTACAGAGATTGAACATTTAAGCTGTATCTCTATGGATAGGTAGGATTTTTATCAAGTAGAGAAAGGAAAAATGCAGTTTCCTGGAAGAAAGAAAGGAAAATGTATAAAGTATACTCTTTTCAAAATAGAAAACGTCATGATGGTTTGGGAAGCAACAAGAAATTCAGTGCATTAAATCGGGTAGAATTAAAGAATATGCACGAAGGAAATAAAATAGACTCTAGTGATTGGGATCAAATTGTGAAGATGACTTGTCAGCCAGGACAAGAAGTTTGCTTTCTGAAGGCAATGAGCAGAGGAATGGCTTAGTTAAGGATGTGCATTAAACTACTGTTTTATACGCAAAACTGACTGGAGAGGGTAAGAAAATGGAGTCGAGGTGGTAAGATATTTTTAGTCGAGGAGAGAAAGGAAAGAGTGTAAACAAAGGTGATAGTGAAAGAAATGAAGAAAATAGGACAAATTAGTGAGACATTTGGAGGTGGAACTAATATACATTATCATTTTGTGAGAGGAAGTGTAGAAGGTCTTTAAGGCAACTCTCCACTTTCTAGGTTGGTGAATTAGATCAGACAATGAGATGAAGCCACCTAATATGGCAGGTAGGCTGTTACAATGAACTTTCAGGTACAGACGAAAAGGAAGGTAAACTTATAGAAAAATGAAGGATATATTCAATTATTTTCTGAGGGATTATGTATCTCAAGAAAAGGTGAGGTAAAAATCTCATATTTACTGATTTGTCAATTATTTCATAATGTTGATTGACTAAAGCAATCTGGATAATATATAAAATGGATATATGTCTTCTATGCTTATGGGATTTTTTTTTATAACATTGACAAACTCAAATCTTATAAGTACTTAGAATAAGTACTTAACAAATTAAGTATGTTTTATAATAAATGAGGATAGAATATAACATATAAGAAATCAAATCTTATTTTATGACTAATTTTAAAATGAAAGTAAAGAGATACATAAAGGAAAATTTTCAAACTACAGCCTCTCCAGGACTTCCATGACCATGAGTTTGTATTACTCACAATTATGATTTATTTATAGCTCCTTTTACCTCCTCACAGCAGCAGATGCAAATATTCCCAATCATCTAAACCATTTCCATCTAAACCATTCTGTTTCTGCACTCATTAGTGCATGCAATTAGTAGAAACCAGGCATTGACTAATTTGATTGACATGTGTTTATTTTCTTTCCCACACACTGTGGAATCACAGCATGAGAGTAATGAAAGAAGAGATGTAATTTGCAACCATGGATAGCATGGTTATTTATTATCATCATACTTACAACTGGACCTGGCGGGCCCTGGGGACCTTCCCCTCCTTTTAGTCCAGGCGCACCCTGGGAAAAGTGAGAAAATAAAGACAATGAATATTGATGTAAATCAAAAATAAAGAAATAAATAAACAGGAGGATGTTTGATAAAATGAGAATGTCTAAAAGTGTTTTTAAGCATAAATACATATATATACACTGATAATCAAACGTGTATGTTTACATATATCCCCTTAATTACTCATGACTTTTTTTGTTAAGCTCTGAGAAAAATGCTTCTAATGAGCAATTTAATGCACATGTTTTACATATATATACTTTGATCATACCTGAGTTCCAGGAAGACCTCTTTCACCTGGGAAACCACGTAGTCCTGTTGGTCCATCCTTCCCTGAGATACCTTGAGGACCTGGGTCACCCTAAAGAATATCATATACCTCCATCAATAGAGAATAATTTCTGCACGTTTCTACAAACAAAATTGTTATTACCTCTAACCTACTGTAAGTAAATAGTGAGAATATTGTATGGAATGCCATATACATTAAAATGAACTAACCACTACCAACATTTAAGAGTAGACATAAACTAATGACTTTATGGTCAATAGAGCTGATGGATCTTATGTTATTGTTCAGTAATGTCTTGAAGGACAATAAACTCACACTGAATATTATCCTGACATATCTTTCTGAATATTCATTTAAATATTCTGCCAAAAATGTAGAGAATCTATCGACAAGTAGTGAGAAGTAAAGTGAAAAGCAAATGGAAGTTCTGAGTCAAGAAAATTTCCAGAGCATGTTGTACCTTTGCACCTTCTTTTCCTGCAGCACCAGGAAGACCTTGTTCCCCAGGAGGACCAGGAGGGCCCGGATGCCCACGTTCACCTATTGGGCCAGTCTCACCAGTCGGTCCCTAAATTAGATAAGCAAAACCACATTAGATTGCTCTTTTATTTTAACAAAGATAAGGTGAACTCAAAATAAATATTACTCCCTTTCACAAAAGTTTATCATTCTCACCATTCTCATTTATTCTACTAATATCCTACAAAACACTTTAGATAAAGTGCTGAAAGTAGCATATCTGTTAGGAGTCTGAAAAGATTGCATGTAATCTTGGTTAGAATCTGAGTATAGAAGGGAAATACATAAATACACAAAGTCCAAAGAAATGTTTTCTTTGCTTAATACCAGAATTACTGCAGAGTAAGGCCAATCCAAGCAGTGTTAAAACTGTGTTTTTAACTACAGTTTCATCCCATCCCTTCTTTTTATATGAGGTGTCAAATCAGGTTTGGAGTAAAGAGGAATACGAGCCACACTGGTGACTGCTGGATGAATCGCTGTTTGAAAGTTACACCAGGTCCCCAAAAACCCAAACAACCGAAGCGGTTCTCCTTGGAATTTCAAGGGACTGCAGACTTCCCAACTGCTAATCTATAATCATTTGACAAAGTCTAAGGAATAGGGCAAGGGAATCCTTAAAGCAGTTGAGTTTGGGCTGGCAATTCCCCCTGGCCAAAGGCGATAACGGATAACCAGCTGCTTTAAATTGCAGCAAATGCCAAAGTGAAAAACATCAGGTCATTTACATGTCCCCTGAGTGGCGCTGTTTTGTGGTGCTAGAGTATAGTAAGCTTTCGAGTATAGATAGAGAGAGGTGATCAGTTGCTGTCTATCTTCACTTAGAACAAAGCAAAATGAAGGATTTAAGCCAAAGATATATAAAGGAAAAATTTCTGGATGCTAAGGTTGTTAAACAGAGGAGTGTGTTACTGAAGTTGCTTATGGAATATTATTCTCTGTTATTTTTCTAAAAATGCAACATATTCTTACTTTTTAGTCTCAGAAAAGAACACACCTGTTCCAACTTTAGACACATATTTCTAGGTTAAATTCTTTTAATTATGTAATTGTTGAAAATCTTCAACTTACCATTAATGTGCAAACATTTCCCCACAAATAAGTATTTTTCTTAAATGTCTGGACATTAGAATTTCAATAGTAAGGACCATAAAATTGAATAGCTATCACCACTGAGACAAAAATGAGCAGACATCCATATAATTACACAAAGAAAAGAGTGAATATCAAGTATGACAATCCATATTGTTCCCTTAAAACAACTCCTTTGTCCTAATATTAAAGATAGTTACATTTAAAATAGGCAGTTTGATTTTCTTTTTTAAAGGGGCCAATAAAAAAATAGCTTGATGAAGATACATACTCAATAAAACACCTACTACTCTTATACCTTAAAGTAGGGGAACAAAAAAGAACACAGGTCTCAGAAGTTTTAGATGTCCACATCAAGCAGAGATGCATTTTCAAAAGGTGTGAGGTCCTAAAATATCTAGCTAAGCCCTGTAATGTTTACATTTTAGACAGACTCTAATTCCATTTCCATTCATGGATATTGAATGTACTAGAGATCATTCTTCCTATTAAATTTTCTAACAGAAAATAGTTATGAAATTGTTTCAAAGAGCAAAATAAAAGTATATTAGGAGGAAGTTTTCTAAGCAATGAAGGAGTATATGCATAATTTTTAAATTAAAATTGATATGCTGTTAAAAGGAGGCCTTTATGCTTATACACATGCTACGTTTCCTTTACAAAGAACAAACATTCAACATTTCCCTTGACTCAGGATTAAAGCTCTGAAATAAAATGATCAACCAATCCAAGAATTCTTCATTTTTGCTTCTGTCACACATATTCCCAGAAAGTAGATGCAATTTTTTGTTTCCATGTGCGTTTGTGTGCATGTGAGAGTTACTATTTGGGAACTATTTATAGGCTGAGAAAAGACTAAAGCAATTAAATAGTTAAAACACATATTCACTGCTCTTGTTCCTTTGCTATAACTTTTCAATAGTGGGGTAAAATTCAAGCTGATCAGACTAAATATGTTCTGCCCATTCAATATGCTTTGCCAGAGAATAAAAATATTTGTAGATGGTGCTATGGTCAGGCTTCAGGGTTAAATTCAGTATGAACTTCCTGATTTACTTTCATTGCTTATTTTATTCTTCTCTTTTATTGATACAGACAATTGAAAAGTTGCTTTAGTTAAGTTATAGTTTGCTAAATTTCATTTGATGTAGGCAAGCTGCATATATTTAAATGTGATGTGAAATAAAAAATAAGTCATTTGAATCACAATAAAATGGGCAGATTTTACACAACTTAGGAAGGTAAAAATATAAACAAAAAAAGAAATCTTGCTAGAGAAATAAAGTAAAAGAACATACCTGTGGTCCAACGACTCCCCCTGGCCCAGGAGGTCCAGTTTTGCCTTGAAATCCCTAAGGAAGAAAGTATAATTTGTAAAATCCAATAATAACACAAAGCATAAATTACAATTCTATGAAATAGTTGAACATGTCACATTAAAAGAAAGTCACCTTTTGGCTAAAAAGTATTATTTTCAAATGTTTAAATGTGAGTTATTATATTTCAGTTCTCTTTAAAATTCAAAATTTTCTATCTTCACTCTTTCATATTATAGCATAATAATTACTTTCAATAAACTTAAAAAAATAAGATAACAGGATGAAGGTGGAGCAAAAATGTGTGCTTAGCCCTGTCCCACCAAATCAAACAGCATGTAAAATTTTAATCTGGTAATGTTATAGATGAAATAAATGATGACTTAGACATTCTTTGAAACAGTCCACTCATTCTCTATAGAGATAAATTCACAGTCTATGATATTAATGCATTTCTCTTTACTGAATTCTAACAATCTCATAAAATAAAACAAGATATAAAAATATACTTATAAAAATAATGTTTTGCATGATTATCCATGTTGCAAATAATATAGTCATTAAAATATAATTTGGTTGATGTCAGCAAAATGTACTTACTAAATAAAGCTTTGGGGCATATATTCTGATATCTATATTTCTCTAGGCTGTGGTTATTCATTCTGTATAATTGTATTATGATAAGCATATTTTTTTCTCATATGAGTTAAGTTACATTTAACCATTGGAGAAGTATACAGAAAATATTGGGAGAAAAATCTTCCAAAGAAATGAATCAAAGCAATTGGCATTTACAAAAGTTTTATTCACTATAACATCTAATCAGACTGGAAATAATAGGGTTAGAGAGAAAAGGGTAGGAACTAGTAATCTCACATTTGTATCACCAACTTCGAGATAACTATTATTGAATTATTTTCAATAACAAAATTTTATAAGTAGATAAAAGGAAAAGAATCTGTATTTTTAATTATTGTAATTGCTGTTACAGGAAAAGAAAACAGATTTCTCCTATTTTTAAAATCCATTAAGTCTTAGGACCATCAGGGTCTACTTGAGCTATCATTATCAATAGCAAAACCAATCACTTTTGGGAGAAATATAATTTATTTAGCATTTATAAACAAAAGAGTGCTTTATTTTAACTTTTCTGCAATTGGTTAGTTTGGGAATCTGTAATCATATTTACAGATTGACATACACACATACAACATATGCACATACATATATAAACACACATATACATATGTATGTATAATGTATATGTGTTCCCCTGGATTATCTCAACAACCATTATGAGCACAATTGCTGTCTCTATCATGATGAACTCCTCCACTCCAAACGATTTCTAAACCTCTGTTGTGTGCAGAGCCCTGAAATTCTCTTAATAAGTGCCTGCTGGAGATTTCCAATTATATATCATGCTTTCTTTTCAACATTCTCAACATGGAGCTTGCTAAATGTACCCTCTCTTGATTTTCTTTCTGTGTTCTCTCCTTTCTTAATGGAGTGCCTTCAGATCCCAGGATTTTCTTCAGTGCTCATACTTAATCATTTAATTCTAGTGTGTCATTTGAGAAAAATCTCTCGAATATAGCATCTTCTCTCTTATCCTGGTAGTCCTGTCTTATTCAAACTATAATCACCTCTTTCCTTCACTGTTGCAGAGTTTTACAAATCAGGTTCACTCATTTGTCCACATTAGCCAGAATCACCATCTCACAAAAGCAAATCCAATCAACCTATTATTAATATATATCATGCAATATCGGTGATAAAGGTCTACACAATCTGGGCCAACCCTGCCACCCCAGTCACCTTTCACTTTGAAAATGTGTCCTAAACTCTAGCCATGCTGATCTTCTCACCTTTCTCTGAATAGCCACACACCACATACTTGCATGACCTGCTTCCTCTGTCTGGATTACCTTCCTCCCAATTTTTGATCACTAAATTTGACATGAAGATGTAAATGCAATTCTGAACTTAAAAAAAATAAAGGCTTATAAAGCTTTTTTTCTTAGTAAACATGAGAACTGGAATAGCACACACAAAAAATGACTGCAATAATAATTGATTAAAATTAATTGATTACAAATCAATGCTTAATCGAGGAAAGCTTATGGAAAATTTACAACCCAGATTTGCACTCATGCATCCTAAGGGGAAAGAGGAAATCTTGGCTGCTAGCCCATTTGTGTGGGCGACGGACTTGGGGAAAGCTGGAAGACAGCATTGCCTGTATGTCTGCTCATTCAAAACATTCAGAATGTTTGCAAGTATCTAACAAATTTGACTCTAGGGATCTTAGAGATAAACTACACACAAGAAAATTTTTACAGTTCAGAGTGGAGTGCACTTGTTCAATAGTATCATGTAAGACTACATTTGCCATTTAATTTTAGAATAACTTAAGTAATTATGTTTTTCAAAGTCACTGAAAACAGAAATTAATTTGATACATTTCTTGGTAGTTTAAAATATCCACTGTAAGACCCAACAGAATCTCTTATTCTGATTATCTGTCAGGAACTAAACTAATTTTAAGATCAATACAGGATGCTTCTGAGACAAATTTGGGTTTTTTCAATATAATAGAAACTATTTCTAAAGCTTTTTAAGGCCATCATGGAAACTTAGAAATAATTTTTATTATTCTGAAACAAGCCAAATAAACATAATATGACAGAATTAACCCTCAAGGATTCATTCAAAATTTAAAGATTTCTGACTCAAGACAAAAATGAAATATAATAAAAGAATTTCTTGATCGAAATAAAATAACACATATACAGCAAAGAATACTCACTCTAGATTCTCATCTTATACAAAGTAATCTTTTGAATCCAGGTCAGCACAGAACCAGGTGAAAAATAAGGATTTCCTGGCTTTAGGGTGATTCACTATTCTCTTAAAAGTGAATGTGAACTTATGTGCACATATAGTAATAACATTCATTGGGTGTCGAGCAGGTGAGAGGGGGGTGGAAGGGATGGGTATATTCACACCTAATGGGTGCAGTGCACACCGTCTGGGATATGGACACGCTTGAAGCTCTGACTCAGGTGGGGCAAAGGCAATATATGTAACCTAAACATTTGTACCCCCATAATATGCTGAATTCAAAAAAAATTTTAAAAAAGTGAATGTGAAATTAGGAATACCAGTTTTTCAGAAATAATTCTAGCCTCTATAAATGATAAACTACTGGATGAAAACATTCATTCTGGAAGCATTAGTTAATATGCTATTTTCTTTGTCTAAATTTAAATGTTATGTATAAAATGGCATAAGCAATTTTGTAACAGCAATTCTCAAGGTATCCTTCCCTCAAATGACATTTTGAAAATGTTCTAGAGTTATTCTCAGGAAGTTATACAATGACTTTGTTACAAAACGGTTGGCTGCAAGATTTGAATGAGGATGCATTTGCAAATATGAGTGTGAATTCTCCTTTAGAGAGTTTATTTTTGCTCCTCAGATAGATGCCATTCCTAAGGGGAAACCAAAACAATTTATTCTTTGGTCTTAATAAATCATATCTTGATTCTGCTTTTGAATCTAGGACTTTGAAGTTTCCCATCTGGCTAAAATGAAGAAGTTGTTAAACTAAGAATTGTTACTTAGTGAGCAAGACAGGACTTGGGTTGCTGCTGACAGATTGTTATAGCAGAAAATTCATAATGTTTTCAGATTTGTTATCATGTACTGCTGTGCAACTCCAAATTTGTCTTCAGGCTGGCTGAATGCCTTAACATGATTTTGAACCACATAGTCAGAGGTAGTCTGTGTTGTGGTTTCCTTAAGAAATCTGGATAAAATCAATAGTGAAAACCAAGAATTGATTCCAAGGACACATGCCAACCCATGATGATTTCTGATTAACATAACCATCCACTGGGATAGCCAGATACATGGTTTTGTAACAGTGGCAGAATAAATAAACAAATACATCAGGATCCTGAAGGCATATTTGGACAGAGTTCCCCCTCTGCCAAAATTGTTATACACATGATAAATTGTTCAGTCAATTTGTTTAAGGTTATATTCCTTATAATTTGTAAACAAAGTTAAATTACATTTCCTGATTTACATTTTCCTACTTGACATGAAACGATGCTTTTGACAAAGTTCCAGACCAATTATAGCCTATGGTTTGAACATCAGCAAATATTTCCTCCTTCAGTTATAGAGAGAAGACTGTTGTATCATGTGCATAGCTTATTGTAATCTGTTTAATTTAGAGAGTGGAGGATTGATAGTATGAGTGGAAATTATCTGTAAACAGACTTCTCTGAAAGGGTCAAGGTAACAATCTTGTTGAGGTATCCAAAATAGAATGGTGTCTTCTCTTCCAGCTCATCCCTAAAGTGATGCTATTGACAATAACAACAATCACATCAACTAACATCCTATTTTCTCAAGTACATTCATTTAGGTACCAGCATGGGTCTATTTATGTATTTCTTCATATATTTTATTGAAAGTTGCAATACAATTAATTCCTTCATTGTCCTGAACCTGGTAATTCAACAGTAATAATAAAGTAGCTTTCTGTGAACTGATGAGGTGCTAGAATAGAAAATTTCCTTTAGAATAACATGGTTGCTTACAGTCTCCCCACGTTGCCCAGGGTGTCCCGGCAGTCCATCCTTCCCAGGTGGTCCCTGAAATCACAAATATTAAATAACCACATGTCACAAATATTCCTTGAATTATTATAATAGTCTAAATGTACTAACAATTTTTTTCATGTTTTCATTATATATTGTATTTTGATGTTCTGTTGATTTTAAATGGTGGTATGTGCATATATTTAACATAATTTTGTAGCTATAATTGAGACCAAGAGAAAATTGTAGAACTCGATTCTGAACATTTTACAATTTAAAAGATTTATTGTATTTCGTTTGCAATCTATATTTTTAAAAGTATATTTCCATATATTTGCATTTTTATTTTAGCAAAAATATTAGTTCTTTAGTAGTTAACAAATGCATATTTTCCCTCTTTTTGGTGATCTGTTCCTAATTCAATTCCCTGTGCATCAAAATTTGGATAACAGAGAGAGGTAGTGCCCTCTAGTGGTGATCTGAGATTCTAACCCACAAGAATGCAAAAGAAAGACAAACTCATAAAAACAATGGCATTTTACTTCTCAAGTTGCTTCAAGTAAAGGAAAAAAAAATGTTATGCTCAATTCTAAGTCATCAGGACCAGTTTTTCCCAGTAGGTTTTCTCACATATCCTTTTGGAAGCATAATGTTTATTAAGCAGTGGAGAGCAAATCTACTATGTTATCACTTTCTGTAAAGGATGCTGTCTCTGTTATGTCTGAAGAAATAAATGAAGCAATTAACTAAGTACTTAAAGTAAACAATTCTGTGAGGCGCCTATATTTTAAATGCTTAGTAGAAATAGATTGCTTCTTTAATCTGCCTTACAGATTATTCATTCTACTCAGAAACCATTAAGTATCAAGTTCAAATTTCAAAACATGGTTAATAAGTATAGACAGAAATATTCTCACCCTTCTGGATAAATGGAGAGATATGATCATTTTAATAATGACATTTTGAATGACAACAGACACACCTCTCACTATCTAAATATCCATTTTCAATCATCTTTTTTTATATGTTAATAGGCAGTTTGAAAAAAAAAAGGCTTTGTTTCAAAGTAATATCATTTTTACACAGAGCTTTCTTGGAACTGAGGAGGACTTTTTCTAGGTTAGCTAGTTCCTTCAGGAGAAAGGATCTTGGCAGTGCCATAACCATCTCTATTCCCTGATCTCATCTGTACTGATACCCTGGATGCCCTGTGAATTACCAGCCCTAATTAAAAACTCTATAATATTTCACAAGGTCATGGCTGCTCAGTAATTTTCTTATGTTTTCCAGGACCACCTCAGTGATTTTAGTGCCATCCTCCCCCAAAAGATCAAAACTGGAGTGTTAGAGTGTTTTCAACCAAGGGCCCCAAACATTCTTGGATGTCATTTACCCATTCCTTCTTTCGAAACGTATATTACATACCATGTATTAGTCACTAGGTGTATAGTAATGTAAGACTTAGTTCTGCCCTCAGTTTAGAGGTGAAACACATAAATGAGTAACTTAATTGACAGTAAACATCATTGAGGTTCAGTTTTAAGAAATAGCAAATAAAAAGCAATATCGGTGCCTTATCACTATTTTGATACATATATTCTAGTAACAATAAATATGTAGTCATTGTGGGCCAGTGATAAAGGTTCTACATAGAGGATGACAGCTAGAGGATAATAAATATGTCGGTCTTTTTTCTCACCATATGTAAGTGCTTCTCAAATGATGTGTTTTGCCATTAGTAAAAGACATGTACACGTTTTCTAACAAAGTTGTAAATATAAAAATTAAATATCTCCTATTCACTGATATAGATAACACTTTCACTGCAAGATAGTATAATCCTTTAAAATAGTGATCTTACTTCTAAATCATGTCATCCTGGGATGCATGCAACATGATTTTTAATGGCTTGCTCAAGGAAGCAGGGTTAATGGACTACGTACAAAATTGGTATCATTACTATTTTACCCGATTTAAGTACGTACTTATACTATATCAAGTGATTAATCCTAAATAATAATAATGGCTCCACATTAGTATCCAATAAAATAAATCAGACTAATTACTAAATAATTTCATGACATTTATTTAAAAATAATACTTTTTTAATCAAAAAAGGCTGCCCTTTTGATCTACTCAGTCCAAGACAGAAAAAATTTACCTAAATGAGGGTGTGCAGATATGGTAAGGCAATTTGTGAAAAGACACTTATAAATAATTATTCAAGGATGTTTTTTCACTTCTCATTGCCTTTTTCTCTTCTATAAATGGAATGTTTCTCATAATAGTCAAGGAATGAATCTTAATCACTTTAAGTTACTTTTTTTCTTAAATGAATGAATATACTCCCAAAATATGCTGACATTGGCATGAAATTAACAGAATCTAAATAAAATATTCCAAGCACTCAACCCATATGTATATGTATGAATATATATATATATACATATATATATATAAATTTTGTTCCTGATTCAATGAAGATGAGCCAATTAATCTATAGAAAGAGACTGGTTCTATATATCCACACCAATTTCTTTCTATATCAAACAGATGAAGACATTTCTTTCCCAATCTTCACAAAACTACATACCAGAGAAATGATAGGTATTTTTATTTCATGCTCTAGTGTTTCACTTTGTCAGAGAAACACTACAAAAATCATTTTGTTTAGCAGCATAAGCAATGCTCATTAACAGTGTCTTGTCTCCAACTAGTATGCATGCTTCTCCATTGTAGGTATTTATTATATTATACTTCCCATACCTCTTAGAGACAAAATGCATGCATGATCAATGGCTCAAAAATTGTTTAAAAATACATGAGAGAATTAACTGGAAAAGTGTGAGAAAAATGAGTCAAATGGCTTTAACAATAAAATTATATTATATGGGGGAAACAGTTCTTAACAATATGTACAAGTACAAATAGTATGATAATGTCGAGGTTATACATATCATTGGATTTTATTTTGCTGAACAATGATCTATGCACATGGTCTAAAAATACTTATGGGAAAAATATGTAAAATCACCTCTGGAACTGTGTTTTCACCTCTCCGTGAAACTCAGCATAAACTTAATGTTACATTTGGAGCAAAACCGATATTGTGGGTAAGCAATATTATATGCAGGTAGTATCAAGATTACCTTTTTTTTTTTTTTTTTTTTTTTTGGAGACAGTTGCAAGTTTAATGAAAACTGAAAAATCAATTGC